CTCTCTCTCTCTCTCTCTCTCTCTCTCTCTCTCTCTCTCTCTCTCTCTCTCTCTCTCTCTTCTCCGTTCGAAATTATATTTATAAATAGAGATGGCGCGCTTATGTACGAATCTTTTCTCGATACTTTCAAACGAATCAGTCTCGTGAAATATTTCTGTATCCACGGGACAATAATAAGAGAGAACAGAACAGTGAGAAAAGAAAGGAAGAATCGTGGTCGAACTCTCGTCGAGAACTCTTCGCGAAATATCGTACGATAATACTTGTAGAATGTATCGTTAGAAACGTCTGAGACAGGAATCCTCGTCCATCATCGAGAGATCGATCGTGGGATTCATTATCGTCTGGGGGAACGGCATCTTCGCCGACTCTTACAGGGGATGAAAACTTTTCAACCCTGTCCGCGTTAAATATATATACCTCGACAAGGTTTCAATCGCGCTAATTGAAAAGGACTTTTTCATCTCCCCCCCTCTTGAATATCCTGCGAAATTGCGAGCGTCAACCAACCTTTCCAACCTTGTTGTTGCCGGACGTCAAATTGTTAGCGTTGATTGGCGACGACCGGACGCGAGCAGCGAAAATTAAAACTTAGTTGAGAGAGTGCCGATTAAGGGGAGGATAGACGGCAGAGAATCTGGCATTACGAAACAGATCGGAACACCTTTACATTTAACGAGGGGGATAATTAAAACTGCGAAGCGAATAGACCGGCAAGATTAATTGCTTCGAGACGATGATAAATCGATCGTGACGAGGCTCTTTTCCTCTTTTTTCCGCTCTTTTCTTTTCCTTTTCGTTTACGATTATCGATAAAAACGTTTATAATGACGATTCAGTCGATAATCGAATAGAAGAAAAACTTCCTTTTTTTTTTTGGAAAATTTACACTCATCTTCTTCCAAACTTCCTTCGAGATAATTGTATTATCGTTATCCCCTTTGATTTTTCTTATCTCTTCTTATCCTAATATTCATATTCATTTCCCACAGCGTGCCATTTCGTCCACCGTAGGAATCTCGACTTATCTCTACCATTCTTACAGGTTTGGAAAGTTGAAGAAGTTTCGGGATCATCGAAAGTTCCGGAAAAACTCGCAGACTTTCAAGGTTCTGAAACGGCTCATCTGAAATTTCTCCCTCTCCGGTAAGTGCAATATACGTATGACGTCGTGAAAAAAATGTTTAATATCTTTTTTAAAACCGGGATCCCCAGAAAATCCCCGACTTTTTAATCTCCAGGAATATTTAATCGAATATTCGTTCGGAATAGAATCCGAATCCACCGACCGCACGAACGATTTCCTTTATTTCTCGACTCGCTTCATCCCTTGAAGAATGCTCGCGAATAAAAATAAATAATCGACTTATCGATTTCGATGGAAAAAAGGGGAGGGGGGGGAATCTATTCCACTTAAGATTTCGCGTTCCGACGCATTCCCCCCCGACTTGACTTTTCTTTTTCCTCGTGGTACGAGATTTAAGAGGGGAAAAAGGAAATCGTTGTCCAACAGCCCTTAAATCTACCCCACTGATTTCTCCGAACTGAAACAAACGATCCCGTAATTACGTTTCTTGTTCAACCTCTCGAACGTGATATAGGAAACGGCTTCTTTTAACCACTGACAAGCCATTTCACCACCATCCCTTACGAAACCCACACACACACACACACGCGCGCGCGTTAATGTATTTTTAAAAATTCCACCGTTTCATCCCTAAAGTGAAACGCATGAAGCAAAAAAAAAAAAATTTAAATCCAACGTCAGAAAAATCAACGAAGAAAAATATATACCTCGCTTGTTTAATTAAGAGACCGCGAATATGTATCAATACCTCAATTTTTACTTCTTTTCTTTTTTTTTTTTTTTGTTCTCTCGTTCAAATATAATCGTTCAAAAAAAAGAAGAAGAAGAAGAAAAATACGATTCCACGTCGCGTTTCCACGTACTGAATATAAAATTTCCCTTCGATTCGCTCTCCCCCGTAATAAAATCATGAGAAATAGAGGACGCGTTGCTCTTAATATCTGGGAGGGGGAGAGGAGGGGGGGGGGGAATGACAGGTGAATCGCATGATGTGATCGGCGTAACGCGATTTTCAAAACTATTCGAAACTATAAAATTCCGCGGGAAATCGGCTTTTGCACGCGAATTAAACCGCAGATTCCATTACGCAGAATTTTCCTGCGGGGGAAGTTCTCCCCCAAGCTCCGTTTTATTACCGTTGGCTGGCGCTCGCCTCGAGGCGACGTCCTCGCGCACCCTTTATCTCTCCCTTTTCGCTTCGACGAGTCGGGCGAAAAAAACGTTTTTAACAGTCTGAAGACACTCGACTTTCTGTCGATACGAGCCGTTTAACCGGCGGGAAGTGGTCGCGCGGGCCGCTTAGTCGGCGAATGTGTGCTTTGCGAGCCGATAAGTCGCGTGTAAAACTTGCCGAAAAAAATTACCGATCCCGTCCACGTAACGAAACTGGCCGTGTGAGACGAAGTGGAACGGAAGGATGATATTTAAGGACCAGGAATTAATCTTTTCTTGACCTCATTTTTTCATCCCCCCCTTTTTATTTTTTTCAGAAAGAGTTAAGTTAGATAGGATTTGAAAGTAGATTAGGTATTCTTTCTTCTCTCTTCTTTTTTTTTTTTTTAAAGGAGATCAATGAGCGTTTTGAAGAATCTTTTGAAGAATCGAAGAATTCCGTTCGCGTAGCTACGATACAACTTAAATGATAATTTTCAATTTCACGTTGGAACAATGATAATAATAGGATTGTATACAGGCGTGTAATAAAGGAAAAGTTCGTTTCTCTCCTCCTATTTCGTTCATTATTTCGTATAATTGGTCGTAAACAATCGTAAATACGAAATTTTCACCTTCGTTAAATACAACCGTGAGTGTAATTGCACCCGTTTTTTTTTCCTTTTTTCTTTTTAACGAGAAGAATAAATTTTGCAATTATTACAAAACGAAACAATTACGCGAAAGATGGCAAGCCGAAATGAATGGCGTTTAATAACACACGTTAGTTTGCAACTTTGTTTGATGAACATCTGTCCAACCCCCTCCTTCCTTTGCTTCGTTTGCTCGATGAAAATAAGGTAACGCGCATGATATTTGGCGGTATTGTTCGAACGACTGCGTGTTCCGCGAGGGGGGATACGATCGGGCGCATTGATCGGGAACTGTATGTGTTCCACGCCTGTGAAAAATATTCCGAATGCCTTTCATTCCGGTGAATTTATGACCGACACGCGGCCTCTTCTATTTCGCCCACGTAGCCCGTGGAGCTCGATGAGTACATCGAAGTTTACTTATTGCCTCGTTCGCGCGTATCAAACGAGAGAGGATCGCGAGAACCGGCGAGCCGGAAAAATAAAATTTATAATGCGAAGTGCGTTTAAGAAGAGAAGAATCGAGAAAGGATTCTCGAAAGCAGATGGAAAACAAATGATGGTCTTTCGATGGGATTTTCATCTTTTAGAGATACGAATTCAGATCGGTGCTAGGATTAATTATTTCGGGAAGATTGATCGTCAATAATGAATAAATCATCGTGTAGTAACATCATTGAGAATCGAAATCTGGATATACATTCGATCTCGAGAGAAATTTTGAAATTTTCGTTTCGTTGGAACGACAAATAATTGGTTGATGGATAATATAAAATAATGCTGTTGATATATTTTAAAATTAACCCAATAACAAATCCTTTGAATTATTTATTGAAGACTACGGAGACGATTACACAATTTAATTAATTTCGATATAATAAATTTTAATTACACGGATATCGTCGCCAGATAAACTCGTTAAATCAAAAATTTCAACGATCGATTTCCCAAAAGTAACAAGATCGGCTCCGCTTCCCCGCATCGCGGGGAAAAAGCAAACAGACCGATCCATCACTTCAACCCCGCGAAACGTGTGTATAAGCTTTTAACCGATCGCGACAAAAAACAGGTAGCTCGACCTCTAACCAACCCCCTCCTCGGGGGAGAAGGAAGACAAACACGCGAAAATCTTCAAGAAGAAAAAGGGAGGCTTCTTCTTTTCGTCCCTCCAGGCCTTCTTCCATCAAAACCGTTCCAAACAACCCCGTTTCGTCGGTTGAAAAAGAAACGAAGGCGAGCCTCGCGTGTGTACAAGCCTCGCAGCTTCGACAGTTGACGAAGAGAGCGGCCAATTCTCTATTCCCACAGAGTGTCCTCGGTGTGTCTCGCCCGTTTATCGCGCTTCATAAATCTTGGCGGGGCGTGGAACCGATGCGAGCACTGTTCCACGCGAACTGCCTCCAAGTTGCGAGCTCACTACTATTCCTCCACACTCGCCTGTCACGCGAATATCTTCCGGAATAGATAGAAAGAACCGCCCCGACTTATCGCCACCTCTAAATCCGCGTCGTTATCGAACGTGTTGAGGAGAAAAAAAGGAAAGCACCAGTGTTTTCGTTGTAACTGTTGTTGGGATCAAGCGCGTAACTGTTGCTGAAACTATTAATTATTTCTTGTTTCGTTAGTAGAGCGAGCAATTTTCAGTGTGAATATTCGAAGAAATTATTATAATAGATCCTCTTTCCCTCTCTATCCAATTAATTGTTTAGTCTTCTTCGAAAATTAAGCTTTTCTAATGATCGAAGCGGCCATTGCCATTATGTTCGAGATTTTCAAAGACTGTAAGAAACTATCTAGATCGAAATTCGAGCGAATTTCTACGTTACAAATCTTTTTCCACGTGCGTTTCGACCCGTTATATTAATCGTTTCGAGTCGAAAAATCGAGTTTCATTCGACGACACAGGGGCTGATCGTGTAATAATCATCGAAGAGGAGGAGAGCGAAGGAGATGCCAATACGGATAAGTTGCACGGAATTTGCGAAGGTGGCGGATATACCGTCGGTGCATTATCGGTAACGAGAGGCGGGCTTTCGTATAGATCAGGCGACACGGTTCGATTACGCGCCAACATCTTCCCCGTTAAATTAAATTTTCATCCGGATACGGAACGCTGCAACGTGTACGCAACGGAAAAAGGAATAGGTTGACTTCTTTTTCCTTTCCTTTTCCATATGCGCGGCATGAAGATGTAAAAAAAAAAAAAAGAAAAAAGAAAAAACTTGGATATCATCGATAACGAGATACGAGATGCGAGGAGTATTTCGATGCACGTTGTGGAGCTTGTTGCGCCGCAAATATTATAATCTCGCGTTGAATTGTTGAAGGATCCGAGCATGGATGATACGGTGGATCGCGTGGGGTTAAGCGCGTGGAGATCGTTAGAGATCGTGTATGTTTGGGAATACGAGGTACGTCGATCTTTTAAAATTTATTCAAATATCAAATAGGATATGTTGTACGTTTGCGTTGGATAATGCGCGTGGATAAAAATGTATATTTTTAATATGAGTGGTTGATGATGTAAAATGATTCTTATATGAAATTCCGCTCGCGCCAAGCGTGGAAAATTTTCGAGGGAAGTGAAAATTCTGATAGTTATGAGAAACGTGTCGATTCATATTTTATTCGATGTCGGTTCACGACGTGTAAAAAAAAAAAAAAAAAGACAAAAAAAAGACGTACGAAGATATAGCGTTTCGTTAAAAATCGAAAATTCCTTTTAGAAGGATATAGACTTTCCATGTCCTTTCGTGGCAGCGTAACATTTTATAACTTTCATAAATCGTTGCAATCGAGCGAGGTCAAACCAGCTGTTTCACGTGGCGATAAAAATTTTACCCGAGCTATTAAAATTGGCGCCAGTTACGAGGATGGTTTTCGTAATTTTCTCGAAACCGGCGTTTAATTCCGATCGAGTCGAGAATCATTTCGTTATACGACGTTGAAATTACCAATTACGAAAAGACAAAGTTCCAAGATATTATATAATTATTTATTCGCAACTCGAAGATAAAACGAGAAGCCTCTTTACAAAAAACCTTTTATCGATTCGACGAAAATTTTATCCTCATATCCCACGAATTCCAATTTCTTCGCATCACGTTTGACAATTCAACACCATACCTTGCTACAATACTGGATGGAAAGCCTTCCATCAATTTCCTCACAAGCTTTCTTCGATTGATCGCTGAGATCGCTATAGATCAATTCCGTGTTATCTAGAATCGTCTCTCCGATCCATAAACGATCCATAAT